CTCTCTCTCTCTCTCTCTGCAGCTAACCGGTCCTGATGCCATGGCCTCCAGCCACAGCTCCTCCCCAGCTCCTCGCGGAGGTCGAGATGGGATCTATCACAAGGAGCGGGACCCCTCCCCCCCCCGCTGCCGGCCCGTCCGCTCCCTGCCCGACGTCTGTCCCACAGAGCCCACCGGTGGGGAGAACAGATTCATCCGTCAATATTAGACTGTTATTATTATTTGGATGTCAGAAGAGTTTCAGATTACAGTGATATCAAACAGAAATGACTCTTCCTGTGTCCGTCCTCTGTGCTCCAATAAGAGGAGTTCCTGTACTTATATTAGAGGTGTTTTCTGCAGGTGAGGGGCGGGGCCTGTGCGACGGCCCGTCTGTGGTGGCGGAGCACGACCGGTGGACGGTGTACAGCTCGAAGGTCAACCTCCCCGCCGCGCTGAACGACCCGCGGCTCGCCAAACGGGAGTCCGACTTCTTCACCAAAACGTGGGGGCTGGACTTCGCGGAGACGGAGGTGATGCCCTCCTTCTACCTCCCCAACATCACCAGGGAACACTTCGCTCCCTACCTGCAGGAGATGGCTCAGGTACTGAACACTCAACCAGCAGAGTGTGGTTCTGAAGTTGGTTCTGAAGTTGCTGAACGTTTCCATTCGGGTTTAACTCGTTCTGGGTGCGTCCAGGAATCCGGTCGAAGCAGTTTCTTTTTATAGGCTCGATGCAGCAACCGCGTGAGATCGGACCAACAAATACCAACAGACTCTTTTCTATCAGTGTATAACGAACTGAAACCCTGATCAGTCTGTCTCTTGTTGAACTCCACAGGAAGTGAACATTGGCCCTTAAAGGACGGTTCCTTTTCATTGAGGGTCCCAAATAATAAGCGAGCTCGAGGTCCGAGGGAACCAATGAGCAGCCTGAGCTTCCTGTTTTGTGATTAATCAGAATATGCTCATTCAGCATTTCTTTTATTCCTCATTCTCTGATTACTCAGTGATATTCACTTCTGTGTGGCTGTAAAAGGAAATCAAAGTTCAGATAAGCTGAATGTGGTTTCACTTCCTGGCTGAGGTGTAAAAACGACGTTATTTTCTTTAGACTTTGGTACCTGGAGCGACTTCTGTCTCTTCCCGTAAGAGCTGGGTAGTTTTCTAGGAACGTAATCGCTGCTTTGTGCTCATTTCCTCCTTCAGAGTTTCAGAATAAAGTTTACAGAAAACAATAAAACGGAAGAACCGCGGTCAAACATTCCTCCGATTGCTTCCTTATTCCTGGAACGTTTGAAGCCCTTCGTGTTTTTTCCTAAATCTTTTTGTCTGTCTGTGTTTTTGATCTTTAGAGGGAAAGAATCCACGAACGCTGCAAGACGATCTGTCCCAACAAGGACGACGTGGACGCCGTCTCCAGTATCACCACCAACAACGGTATGAATTATTAAAGCAGTGAAAGCACACAGGACACACGCTGACCTCCCACAGTGTTCGACCAACACGTGACCTGACAGCAACACAAAATCAAAAAGTTGTTAACTTGTTATTTGTTAATGTAGATTATTTTAAGCCTGGACTCTGCTCTAGCTAGTGCAGAGATTTTAACCTTTTAGTTTAACCAGAAACAGACGTAACATCACTTTTTCACTCTCCACCAGACTCCAGAGACAAAAACACTCTTTAACTCGACAGAAACAAAATAAAACTGTTGGTTTGTCTTTCCACCAACAATCAGCATTAATTCACTGAGTTGAATCTAACTCTGGGCTTTATGTCGAGTTTGTGACTGTTGGAACAAAATAAAGACAAACAAGATGTTTAAAGTCAGGTTTATTTTGTTTCTGTCAAGTTTTAATGAAGTTCTGATGATCAGTGAGGTAAAATTACCTTTTTTTTTATGCAGTCTGGTGAGCGATATACAAACAAACTTTATTATTAATGTTATTATAGTATTTTCTACGTTTACATTTGTTGACTAACAATAATAAGCTGACTAACGTAAGGAAATACTCCAGGATTACTTTACAGTTTTTAATGGTTTCCATCGTACATGAACTCTAATAAGCTAAAATAAAACAGACTGTTGGAGTAATAACAAGATCTTGATCCAGAGCTTCTCTTGTTTCCTGCAGATAAATCCAGAGCTGAGCTAGAACAAGTCCCGAAGGTAACACTTCTCCTCTCCTTTATTCTCTTTTTATCGGATCAGAGTTTGTAGAAACTCAGTAACTTTCTTAAACCTTGACTTCACTTTAAACTTCCCTTTTACAGTTACTTCATCTCGGTTAACTTTTCTCCCATCGGTTTCTGAGAGTCTAATTCTGTTTGTTTGGGTTTTTTGAATTTGCAGATCTTCATGAAGCCCGAGTTTGCTCTGGAGGACCCCGCCACCTTCAATGCCGTCCTGCCCTGGTCGCACTTCAACAGCGCCGGGGGGAAGAGCAGCAGAGACGGGGCCTCCTCCAAACTGCTGCAGGAGAAGGTGAACTCACTCTTTAAGTTCAGTCTCGCTCTACCAACCTGGGAGTCGGGACCCCCACTAGGGGTCGCCAAAGCTTTATAGTGGATCACAAAGACTTCTTGATTTTAAGGCGTGCTAGAAAACTTAAAAATATACACAGTAGGACTTTAGGATCAGCATTTAGTTCTTTGAAGAAATGTAAAGTAAATAGTTGAGAAAACTGTATAATAGAACAATGGTTAAACGTCAGGGACAAGAAAACACAGAATCTTTCTAAAAAGAAGCCGATTTATCCTCTAAGATTGTTATAAATAATAAAATACATAATACAGACAGATAATTATATAAAAAGTTCCCTAAACAG